AGGGAAGCTCAACTCCAGAAGATAATCTTACGGAAGAGACATCTGTCTCCTTGGCAAATGCCATATCCAGTTTACCTATCAACTCCACGGCTACCCTTGAGAAGGTACTGGGAGGTTGCATTAACGCAGCAGGAACACTATTTTCATTTTGATACACTTGATAACAAGAAGTTATACTCGCCCCTATATCTAAGACTGAAGTTCTACCCACTCCTTTAAAAGGTAAAATATTTTAAAACTAAAAAAGCTGCACAATTACAGTTGTAAGATTCAACTAGAAGTCAACAAGTTTTAATCATCACTACATATATCACTGTCCAGCAAACAAGGCATAAATGTTAGAGGAACTGGTTTGTTTTCCTCTCTTGAATCAAAATAACGGCTACTATTAGGTCCTGGCATTTGTAAGTGTCCACTATAAGGCAGATAAGCTCTGCTTATGAAAGATGTCAAGTGACAAGAGCCGCGAGTGGCAATAATCAGAGTTGTCAGTTCTTGCCATTTCTGGAGGTCAGCTGCTAGCCCACAAGGCTGACAAGAGTACTAGACATTTAGGACAGCTTATATTTGACCTTTCAACACCTCCCTTTACTAAATACCTACTAAAGATTCTAACACAATTTTGTAAATTTTTTTTGAGTCTTTCGGATCCCACATGCTACGTAAATGCTAGAACTTTTCCTAATTATAATAATCACATCTTGAAAATGGAATTTAAATAAACCAGAAGTAATGTAGTTACCAGAGAAAAGGAGAGAAAGCCCATTTTATTAGCATAGTAATACCGTTGCAACTGGTAGAGAGTGCTGGTCTCTTCCAATGCTAGATGATGAAGAATGAAAAATGCAAATTCTGTACTTGATTAATTCATACTTACACAAGAGCGAGGTATTTTTCATGAAGTAAAGCTCAAGTCAAAAACCAGATTAATACAGTATGGGAGTGAAAGCAATACTGCAAATTGTAATACTAACGTGACGAAAATAAACATGCCTTTGTCAATTGGTTAACAAATCCTTCTCTGCCTCCTAAGTCACACCAAGAAAAAAGAGTTAACATTTATTTCTGAAATAAGTAAGAATCTTCAAGCAGAATCTGGCACTTTAAACTCTGAAGCAAAAGAATCCTAATTGCATCTACAAGTGTAATTTTCCCCTATTTCAGCATGATTAACTGATACGTGACATTGCTGAACGTGCCTTATATGGCTTGACTACTAGTGTCAGTTCAAGCACATCTCACAAGATGCTAAAAGGGAACGCGAAAAATGAAGAAGCTTTATTTTATGTCATAGCAGAAGGAAAACTACAGCTGTGAAACCAGCAATTTTCACTAATCAAACTCTTGTCCAAGCCACTCTTTTTGATTCACAGTAGTTTTCTCTCTGTTTCCTTATCCTACAAAGCAACGAAAGCAAAATGACTTTGAACTTCTGAATCGTATTTAAAACACTAAAAACTGTATACAAATAAACCCATACTGGATTCAATCTATACACTATTATTATATCATTTAGTGCAATGGGAAATTTTAGTCTACTTGAATCTAAAACAGTTTCTAATGTTGCATGCCCAAATATTGCTGCAAAGGAATCTGTGGGACCAATCAATATGCATCCAAAGTCAGTACGCTTTCTCCTTCTGCTGAATTTGCTTTTTTATTGCTTAAGTGAGCAGAACTACAACTGCATTAAATACAAAAGAATAATATTACCACAAGCTAACATACTGCATTGAGCATAAGACCAAGGTTCATTACATAAAAATTATTAGTATTTTGAGTATGACATACAGCTCACACTGTACTGCTGCACTTACTTTTCTAAACTGGCAGCCTGAGCCATAATTTCTGGGATTTATTCACCAGTCCCCAGTATTTGTCATTGCTCAGACCTTTAGGCATTAATTCCACAAAAGCAATCATAATAAGGGACAGTCAGAAGTCAGACATACATAGGGAAAGTCTTCAGGGAGTGAAAAAAAGAAAAAAATAAATACATCACCATCAGTGGATCACAATGAAACAACTAACCCAATCATTTTTCTGCAGAAGAAACACACAGATCTTAAAGAAATATACAGATAAGGAAGCACATGCACTGATAAAGAGAGAACAAAAGATTCACTGTACAAGCGACCCCGTGCAAAAACTAAATTTCTGCTGAAGGATTCTGTATTAATAGCGAATCCAGACAGTCTCTGCTAAAATTTAAGCATGCTGTAAAATATGATAGTATTCTACTCGCAAAATTACGATTCTGAAATGGCTGACAGTGTCAAAAAATGCTGCCTTCATATTATTAACAGCCTCTGATCACCTCAATTCACAGAAACTTCCTAATAGAACCCTAGTATCTGAAGAACTTCAAATATATTAATTTGAATATAAATTATCTGTATCAGAAATGGCTACACACTATCCAACTTGTGGAAAGTGATATGATTTGCATATGAACTATAAAGCCCCAATTTTTTAATTTTTCATAACAGCATTAGCCCATATCTTCTTCTTCCTGTATTTGGTTTACATTTATGATTTTACTAGACTAGACATGAATTAATGTATCAGTACACAAATCCTCCTTGTAAAGGAACAGATGAATTCAAAAGTTACGGTACCAAGAGATTATAGTATCAAAGCCATTACCAGCATCAGTTTTTTTAAAAAAAAAAAAAAAAAAAAGCATGCATTCTGAATTACATTTCTGCTAACTGCAGAGTATGGAAGAAGCACCTTCTTAACCAGGAGCATAGTCATTAGTATATTGACACCAGTTGCCCCCCTGATACCAGACAACAAACATTCTTGAACATGATCAGAAAAATCTCTTGGACTAGCATTCATCTAACCACAGATCTTTAACTCACTTGCCAGCACGTGCCAGCAATGCCAATGAGGCTTCAGTTTGCCAGTCTCTCTCAGCAGTTCTTCAGTCTCTATCTTGGATGTAAACATTCTGCTTACCCAAAATCTATGGTCTCGCTTCTGGTGTTCTCACAAAAGCAGGAGGATAAATTAGATCACAATGAGAAAACAGAAGCACGAAAATAATATCAAATTCCAGTTCCAGCTAGGAAATGCCAATAACTGTCATGTCCAATAAAACTCTTAATTTTTTCCTTCAATCAATAAGCAGACAGGTGCCTAACAGCTACTTGAAATTATTCTAAGACAACGTTTTCTCTCCTAACAGAATACACCCTTATCTACCAGAAGGACAACCATTATGTAAAGAGGAAAGACTGGAAGGTATATGACTTCTTGTTCAGATGCCGCTACTTTCACATAAAATTAAGACATCAGGACACTGACAAACTATGGGATAAGACTACAAATAAAGAGCAGAATCCTTGAGATTAACAAATCAGTGTCATCACACCACCATCTAGCCAGATTATATCATATACAATCCTTGCTTAAATAGGAATCTTACACTATGTTTTAACTATAACGTTGAAAAAGCATCAGTAGGCAAAAGGAATATAATCTCTAATTAAAAAAGAGCAGTTTCATTGCAACCTACCACATATTTAAATCTTTAATTACTTTACTAGAATAATCTTAATATTAATATCATCCTTTTTGTGCAAATTACCATAACACTTTGTGAAATATGCTCTGTCTAGCCCTCAAGGTATCCAAACATATCCATAATATGATACAGATCATGGGCCTAAGCTGTCTTTAATTTTCAGAAAGATGTTTAACAGCTAATTGAAGTTTCATGCCTGGCAAACTAAGGCTCAGACGAAAAAGAGAAAGAAAGTATGGCTTTCTCAAACTCGTGAGATAGAAGAAACAAATTAACAACTTCAGGTGTGGAACAAAGAGGGAGACATATTGATGAGGGAGCAGGAAAATTAGTGCACCCGGCTCCACAATGCCTACATTGGTGCTAACTGAAAGCATAATATTCTTTAGTTGCAAGGAGAAGAACCAATTAACATGCATGCTGTCTGTCTCTGAAGCCAGGAAAGTTTATCTGTATCTGCAAGAAACAGCTACTGCTGACTAGAGGTAATAATTGAGGGGAAAAAAAGATCAGGAAACCCAGCAAGACCTTTATATCACTTAAAGTATAAAATAAGAGCTCAAAAAAAATGTAGGTACAAAGGACAGGTAAACACTGAAGCATACAGCGATGCTGGAATCAGACCTGTAGCCACAGAAACAGTATCAGCTCCATTCTGCACCACTACACAGAGTATCAAAGTGTTCAAGCGAGTCTGGGGACCAATCTCCAGTTCTGCTAAATGAAGAGATTCTGGAGAACAGTACCTGAAAAACCTGTGCATCACAGAAATAAAATGCTAGGAAAAATGAATGTATTTGTTTTTCATTTTGATGGATAGTTCTGATGCACAGCTCGATAAGCCTCACAAGCCAAGTTTGATAGAATAAGGTAGCTTTATTCATCAACTTTGGCTGGCTGCATATGTGATTGCTGGGTAAAGCAGATTTACTTTTTCCATTTACTTCAGAGAAGCAAATCCCTATCTTGGGTAAACTTCTTAGTTTTTGTAGCCTGTCTGCACAAGATGGTGGCTCTCTAAATTAAAGCACACAAGTAAGCTCCCAAAAAGAGTATCTGAGAAGTTCTGAGTATTGTTTTAACTTTTTTTATCACTGTGGTATCTACGTACAGAGCACAGCAATAAATTCCACAGCTACAGAATTATTTACTTATTTCTTTTGTTCAGCACTCTGTTCTATATATCTCTGTTATTTATCATCATTATTTATGGACATGCTTCTTTTTCTTAATTTCTACTTCCCTCTGTCCCTTGAAGTGCCTGAAGGTACTGTAAAGTATACAATAGCATGTACATCTGCAATCTGAAGTGAAGATCTGGACAAAATGATTGCCTAACATTATGCTTCTTATTTATGCAATTAAGTTAAACAATGGAATTTCATAGTCACTAATCAGCATTAAAATAATAATAATAATAATAATAATAATAATAATAATAAAAAAATACTTAAAGTACCTAACTCACCTTCATCGCTAGTTGCCTGCTGTTTAACGAAAGTCATTGGAGATCTAGCTGGGGGTTTATTTAGTGGATGACGCCAACTCTTAGATATTTTCTTTCTTTCAACTTCCACTGACTGAAAAGGGAAAAACACAAATAATTTAGTATGTAATTCTGCAAAGTTAATTTTGACGAACAAACACATTCTTCTGTAAACAAGCACAGATGTCAATTCTGTAAATACTATCAGACTACTTGAATCACCTGTAGTGTACCAATTAAAGTATTTTTCTCTGATTCAGAATATATACTTCAATTTAAAAAGAGTAATCCTTGTCAAATACAAATGGTTTGAGGTATAAATTACTGCAGCCCTTCTCAAATCTCAGAGCATAAATCCTGTTTTCCTCAGGTGATGTTTGAGAAGAATAATAGTGAGTGCAAAATTGCTGAGGAAGTAAAACAATGACCTGGAGTTGAGACAAGAAACGAAGAGTTCTGATAATTGATCAGTATGTTGATTTGGGATATGAGGAAAACTTTTCTTCTCTCAAGCACCCTTACATACATTCCTCTTGAAGTTATCTAAGCTTCAAGAACTAAAGCCAACACTACAAACTCTAGAAGTGCAGCTTTCTCAACTCCAGATTTGAGTGCCGGTGGGAGAATCACAAAGTAAACCAACTGCTGATGGTACCTGAAGGTTCAGGAGCTGAGGAAGGGCAATCTCACTGGCAGAAGTGTGTGAAGGACAGAACCTCACACCATTACTAAGGCGCACAGCACTCTGCTCCTCAGTGCCCTGAATTTAAGCTAACACATGTCCCTTGACTAATTTGAGGGTTGAAAATTACTACTATGAAATGGGGAGAAAATCACAAAACAACATCATATTTACTGTGTTAAGGAGAGGGGGGAAGATGTGGCTAAAGCACAGGAAAGGTTATGATCTAGAAAAAGTTACCAAGTAAAAAGGGAAAGAAGATCAGACTTTTTAATTGCATCTGTATAACATACTTCTTCACTTATAATAAAAAAGAAAGAGTATTCAATTATACTGGAGAATATCTAAAACCTCATATATAAATGGCTGAAAGGCATAAAAAGAGATAAATATAATCTTTAATATATTATGATTAGAACACTGAGATGTTTATAATGCTCTTTATTATTGCAGTGGAAGGGCTGGAGCCACGATTATTAAAATTTACAACATTTCAAAAAAATCATTAGTGCACAGGTCATGTCTTTGAAAGGGTCAGCATGATTTTACTTTGGCTTCTAAGATATATTTCCCACTGCGTCTGGCAATCTGGCAGTGGATTTTCCACTCTCTGTCTGCCAAACTGGATTGAACTCAAACTAGGAAAGCTACTGTGGCTACCACCATAGCTCAATTTTTCATTATGCTTCCCAAAGTCAAAGCTGCCCACCCTTCATAGCAGAATAGGAAGAGTAAAAACAGATTTAAAGTTTGTAGGTGCCACAATGAGAAAACATTATCAAACCCCCTATAAAAATTTAAAAATATATTCCTTTTATGAGAGGGATCTTTTCCTTCAAGTATTTCCTTGACATGTTTTAGGCCACTTCCAAAATCCAAGAATAGCAAGTTTGAAGCCCTGAAATCATACTGTCTGTATTATCTTGCTATAGCCATGTCTTGAAGATTCACTTTCACCAACTTCAATACTACAGACACAGCTTCAACTAAAGTAAGAAAGCCATAAGATCTAACAAACTATGTGAGATAATGCAATAGAACAAAAACAAACTTTGTTTCCACCTAACTCAATGCAGAGATGCTCCTCAGCTTTGAATCGTCCACTTCTTCACTTGAGAAAAGCATCAGTCCAAAAATAAATTACCATGTGTGCTTCTACGCTGCTAAGTGTGGACAGTAAGTATCTCAGAATCAACCCACTTTGCTGACATTTTACCAGCATACTTTTAACTCTCCTTCAGACTCAGTCAAGAGAGCCATTCTTTGAAACACAAATACATGACACCAAATACAGCACTCAACTCTAATAATTTCAATTTCACGTCAACAGCTATAATTAAAGCTGATAGCTTTGTTCATACTGGCAGGCAGCAAACACGGGAAGAGCTTGAGAGTAGCTGCTGACAGTTCAGATTCACCGATATAAAGTGAAATTACTAGATATCTAAAATCAAAGGGAAAATATGTCAACAAGCAAGCTCCAGAAACATGCTGCTTTTGAATCCAAATTCCCACTCTTGCCTGAACACTTCAAAACATGTTCAAATTAGCATCTGATTAAAATCATGAATATTCTTAAGTGCTTTAATATGGATATCAGGTCTCATTAGAAACATGTTCATTCACATTTCATTAAATCAGGAATATATTACTATAATGATGAAATTTGCTTCACATACACTGGATGTTTCCATGCCATCATCTTCATCATTTTTCACAACAGGCACTTCTCCGTGTTCCAAGCTATCTCCACAGCTTTCTAGGTCACTGACATCATCCTCTACTGAGACATTTTCCTCTTTATTTAGGTTTTCCGCTTCAGAAGCCGGTCCCTCTGACTTATAGTGCGGTACTGATGAAACAGGCTGATTGTGAGATTTCAAACTGTCTTCTGTTCTACAGCTATCAGGAGTCAGCATGTGGGCCACAGAATCTTCACATGTAAACAGAGGATGACTGGAATCTGTCCTGTCCTCATCTTCCATTTTTGTTTTCTCTAGTACAGGAACAGGGCTTGAAAACGAGTCTGAATGTATGCTTCCTACAGATGAAGAATATGATTTGTTAATAGAACTAACTTTATATTATTGCATTTCATTTCACAATAATCTGAGTTATTCAAATTCAAAGCATGGTTCATCAATTAGAAATCATACAGAAAAGCATCTGGTAGAATGACGTACAACAATGTCGAGTATAGCTTTGATTGAAGAATAAACTAAATGTAAATGTTTTGAGTTTGGAGTGTGAAATATAGTTTTTAATCATTTAACTGGTATTTTGTATTTGAATTTGAGAAAGTCTTCATGTCATTCAAAATAACCAATATTCATGTAGCTTGTTTACTCTGACAGCCCACAAGAACTTTGACTAGTTGAAAAAATGATAGAAAAGGTTGGTACATTGAACTTTATATCCTGCATTTATACCTATTAGGCCTGTTTAAAAAATGAAAATAAACAAAGACTAATGGTTTATAATTAGGAAAACATATTTCAAATAGATAACAATAACATTTGGAAAACAGCAGCACTAGTCTAAAATTGAAAAGCAATTAGCATCATTTTCTATTTCAGCAATTAGCATAATTTTATATTTCAGTGATGCTGAAGGGTGAAATTGTGTGGGTTTTACTTTATAATATAAACTTTATAATAATACTTTATAATTCATCATCTGCTGATGCTTTCATGGGATAGATAGAACAATGGGTTAGACAAGTCACCCAAAGAAGAGCTCTATGGCACACATCACCATGAATTTTGATTCAGCAGCATATCCAAGGCAATAAGAAAAACAGTCTCTGTAAAGTCCTTCCTTTTCTTTCTTTACAATGGTTATTTGAACTTCTTTTTTTGAAAAATTCCCTTTTCAGGTCAAATGCATACAAAATTTAGTAATAAAAAGCCCATCCAGTAGTAAAACATAATTTCTGGGTACAAAGAGTATTGCCTCGACTGAGCATAATGGACATACTAGCCACACACAATGCAGAACAAAGGACCATTTCCAATGTGAGTACTGGAACTTCCACCATCATATCTAAACAAGGTCCTTTTCCCTGCAAAGGTCCAGAAAATACCCTCTAATATCACAAAGGAAAGAGGAAAGCACTCCACTCTTCTCTGCCTTTACTTCCCATGCCAGTGAACACCAAATGGTTGCTGACTAACTACTAGCTTCTCAGCAGTCATGAACACTGCAAACCACTACTAAAAGTTGGGGGAACATAAAGGAATAACACCTTAAAAAAATAAATCATTACAACAGTCTTAGAAAGGCTTTGATAGAGCAGCAAATAATTTTTACACAGGAATTTCTAGGTTTCCATATTCAAATACTGACTTTGTTATCTTTATATGGAACAATTCTGGTGTTTACCACATCTAAATAACTATGAACTTAACCATTAATATTACAATCAGGGAAATACTCTCTACATACAATTTCCAAATAAATTTTCAGTATCAGTATAAAACAAATGGGACTGCTCACACACTGAATTAAAATTGCAGTTCGTCTCTGTGAACAGGAATGTGAAACTACACCTTAACTACAATGAAATGGGAAACAGATGAAATACAGGCCAGAAAAGACCAACTTTATTAGTATAAAATAGTTGTGGAGAAAAAAGGTCTTTGGCTTGACAACGCCTTTATAACTTGCATTGTCTGACAGCTCAACAGGAAGTGACAAGAAATCTGCAGTCTCAAGATAGATCATTTTTGTGCACATGTACAGACCACTTCTAATATGTAGCATTCCTCATGTAAATATATGTATCATACTACAAGCATATATGTTCTGTACTGTCTGCATAGGTGTTAAGACATTCTGTATCATTTCTGTATATTAAAAAAAAATTGCTATAACACCTATGAGCCTATTGAACAAATAGAATTTACAAAACCTCATCCTTTTTATTCCTTTAAAAAAACCACTTCATTAAAACAGTTTGGGTGATATTACTCTCAGCTCAAAATATTAATTTTGTCATTTTCTCATTCTTACTGAATATCAGCCTTCTCCACATAACTTTATTTTAATATGCTACTTAGGATAATACTATGTGGCATTAGAGTATCAACAGCCTACAACTTACATGTGAAACATAACCAGTCCTTATCTCACCTGCAACCTTGACATTATCCAATAAATGTTGATCCAGCTGCATTCTACTACTGTTTTCTTCTTCCCCAGAAGGCACTCCTGTGTTTACCAGTCTCACTTTTTTTCCAGGTTCTTCATTGACCTTGAAGCCATCACTAGCTGCTTCAGTCGTTATGATTTCTGCACCAGCTACCATAGCAGATACTCTCTTGTCCTCTGGAGTTTTAAGCTTTTTAGATCGGGATCTGGTGTGTGGAAAGCTGTTATAAGAGATATTGCTGTCAGAGTAGAATGTCTGTCTTGGATAAGATAAAACGTCTACCAATATATATGTCCCTTTCAACTGCTTAAAGTGGTTAAAAACTGACAATTTTTCATCTTTTTGTGTTGAGATAGTGTTTACAATTTATTAAGTGATAGATTAACAATTGATTGGATTTAACCTTCTAATCTTTTATCACTATTCTACGGCAAAGTTATTAAATTGTATAAGTAAAGTAACCTTAAGTAACTATTACTTAACCAGCATCCAAATGATCTTTTTAATTAATCATTCTTTTGAACCTGAAAGTGAATAACCCTTACAAAGTAACAAAGACCTAACATTCTCAGTTGCACTAAAATCAGGTGGTATTTCCAAACCCCAGTGCTAATAAAACACTTGTCTGAATAACCTTGTAAAATCAGATCTGTTTAGATATCTTCTAAGTTTTTATATGAATTTTAACAAAAACAACAAGCATCTGTAAGAAGAAAAAATTCTGATCACCAAATATTTTAAATTACTACAGTATCAGGCAGTATATTTCATATTGCTGTGTAAAGAATGAAGTTGAAATTAAATCTTCAGCATAAGTTTTTGCACCCTCAGTAGTAGACAGGAAAGGTTAAAGCAGGAGAAATGCCCCCTCCCGCCCCCCATCAGCAACTGGTTTGTAATTCATGTGCTTGTGAAGAAAGTAGTAGGACATTAGTCCAGTTTCAAATTCAGCTATGTGTCATGGGAGGAGATTTTTATGTCTCCACCACACATCAGGTTTCAAAACTCATAACACACTAGTGATAAAAGCCCAACTATGGCAGGTAAACCAGGGGTTTTACAAAGGTCTTGCGTCTTAGACTAGAGACAACTCCAGAAAAACTTTTCCTACCCCTTAAATTTTATCCTATGTCCACCAATGTATATCTTTCAACCATCTCTCTATAAAATAGTAATTTCCAGAAAATTTACAAAGTATGAGGCAGCCATCAGTTCACTTTGTAATGTAGCAGCAAGTATTATTACTGTTTACACACAGTCATTAGATGTTCTATTGCAGCAAAATATTCATCCATAAATGTCAGAGTTAAGCTCTCTCTGTCACTCTATTCATGAAGATTTCCATAAATGGTATTTCTATTTTCACTCTGCTGGAACTTGTATTTTTCCCATAATCAAAATGACGACAATTTCAATCGACACATTACACTAGAAATGAAGCTGAATAAACATTTTATCCTCCCTTTGCAATATGCATTGTTACCATGCCTAAACAAAAGCCAACTCAATAATTAAACAGCATTGGGATTGTGTTTATTAGCTTAGCTAAGTGCATAAAATCAGCTCATGTGTTCTTATGATAAAACTTTCAACACAGTTACTATGAAGTCTTTGCTTTTAGTTAAAAGTGGCTACCTCTAAGGACACTACCAAATGAATCATTGCTGGTCCAAGTGTGAACTTGCAGTAACACTGTACAACATATACAGTGAAATTTACTACAGGACAAAATGGCATTCAACTAGCTAAACAACAGAATTACTCTCTCGTGTCTGGGTCAATATTATACATATGCTAACAAATTGGCTGTCCAGCTGGTTGTCTGCAAGAACTGATTGTACCCCACAAACTATTCTTACCCAGAACAAACCCAATGTTACATTTCTCAACTATGATGTTCCATTACAGTAACAGTTGGTCCTCTTCTTTACAGGTTGCCTTTCCTATTCTTTTCCTCAAGAAACACACTAACTTACAAAGAAAATGAGAAAATTCAGTTTAAGAGCAAGTGTAAAAAGTAATTATATTGTAAAATATTTTGAAGGAGGAAAAAGATCTTAAAAATTCAGTATTATCTTTAGCCCAGCAAAGTGCTCTCCACATTGCTAGATACCAATAAAACTGCTCAACCTGTGGCTAGAAATTAAATAATCTTTATTAGACAATGAAGAAGAAAATCCATAAGGATCCTGTTAAGCAAGACAGGAAAGCATTAGTGTACAAAAAATTTTTGTGCAATGCAAACAAAAAACCAGAATCATAAACATGATGTACACCAAGAAAATAAACCCAGCTATGAAACCGCTTTAATAGGTCAAAGCTTTGATAGGTTCAGTGACAAGCTGAGAAATGTTTTTCTCCTAACTTTCCTAGTGGTGTCATCACCAGCAACTGAGGTTTAGGCCTTCCTTATACTAAATTACGATCTGTGATTGACCTGTGGTAGACACATGGAAGTTTTGTCTACAGCACTGCGAGTGTGCTGGTCATGGAGCTGGATGGCAGCAAGGGCTAGAACTACTGCTAGAGACTTCACACAGCTGTTGAGATTCTCCCACAGCTTCACAGTAAGTTTTTCCAATTTAAACTGTACCTCAACTCTTAGGAGACCTCTTCCTTGTCTTTTGGTTGCAGATGTCACTAGAAACAATGGCAACCATCCATACCTTCAAAATTTTAATGGAATAATCTCTACTAAAGAAAGACTCTAAATACCACACTGGAATGCATTTTCATGCTCTTTATAGTAATTAAATTCAGCTATACGCATAGCTTGTAAATTGAATTAATTTCTCATAATCACTCCATAAAAAACGCCTTGCTTGTCCCAAAGTTCATCTTAATACAGAAAATCGAAAAACAAGCTTCATCTAAAGTAAACAAATTCAAATAAAACTTCAGAGAAAGTGATTAAAAAAAAAAGGAACAAAAAGGAAATTAACATCATATTGAAATGGAAGATAAAGAAACATAAATACCACTTGGGAACGTTCTTTATTTTCTTTCTTCTCTGTAGCCAGATCTTTACTTCAGGTGTTGATTCAGGAGTTGGTTTAGTATGATCAATGGTGTATAAATCTTTGCCTTGTTTCCACAGCTGGTATCTATCTGGTTGAAACTTCCTCACAAAGACGTCCATGGATATTGTCACCATGTCTTTCCTACAAGTGCACTGCAAGAGAAGACAGGAATTTGTAAGTGAAAAGTAGCAGAATATGCCGCAGTTTGCAGTAAAGAAAGTCCAAAATAAAAATCCCACATGTGAAAACCAACTCTACTATAATCAAAATTTTCCTTTTCCGCTCTTCCTCACTTATCTGGGGAGGTGGTAAAGATCATCCAAGAGAAGAAATTATCAACAAATACAACAGACTAGGATTGTATAAAGGTACTCCTTTGTTTGATTAACTCCTACAGATTAAGACTAAAAAGAAACTATAGCATCTCTTTTTGCTCTATTAGCTGTTCTTGATAGTTTTAAGCATCCTATCATGTTGAATCCAGAGATTGCATGTATCTTCAGTGGCATCACAATTTTCTTTTTAAAAATATCCACCTGACCCAAAGGTCTTTACAGGCAGGTACAGTCCTAGCTTTTAACACTTCAAACTAACATGCATACAACTACAGTCACAAGTTACAGTTTTCCCAGGTTTTTCTACAAAAAGGAAGAAACATGCAAGAGAGAGGAATATTATGCTTAAGGTCTGGAAGAATGTGTTACAAAAATGCAATTTGATCTTCTGTGCAATGCAGGCTCAACTCTCACGCAGTATTTTCCCTTCCCCTAGTCCCTGATTTTAGTCCCCCAAAGAATTTTTGCACTGTTTGTCTTTACAAATTATTGGATCATTTTGGACATATTTGAATAAACTCTAATAATGATCCTAAAAATGCAGAGGAGTCTTCACTTTGAATACTGTAGATGCTGAGACATTTTCAGACTAAAGCTACTGTACTTAATTCTCCAAAACACTAATATTAGGAGACTGCAATAGGTAAATCAATATGTCTGCAGCATGTAAATCATAGTGGTGAATTAACCTTGGCTGGCTGCCAGCTGCTCACCAACCTGCTCTCTCTTTTCCCCTCCTCAGCAGGATGGGGGGGAGAAAATAAGATGAAAAAGCTCAGGGGCTGAGGCAAGGACAGGAAGATAACTGACCAATTACCACTACAGCCTCAACTTGAGGAAATTGAATTATGTAATGCCAATTAATAACAGATTAGGATAGAGAGAAATAAGAACAAAACTAAAACCAGCTTCCCTCCCCCCTTCTTTTCCCCAGGCTTGGCTTCATTCCTGACTCTGATGTCTGCAGGGCTGTTTATTTTCCTCACTCTCCCTCTTGCAGCTGCTTTTCACCCTTTCTTAAATACGCTGTCACGGAGGCACCACCAGAGTGCTGACGGGCTCAGCTTTGGGCAGCGGCGGGCTCTTTTTGGAGCCAGCTGGACCTGGCTCTGTCCCACGTGGTGGCAGCCACTGATCCCTTCTCACAGAAGCCACTGCTGCAGCCCACCTCCGCTGCCAAAACCTTGCCACAGAAACCCAGTACAACAATTCAGATTAAAAGCAAGTTGACTGCCTAAATCTTAAAGTCTTAATTTCAAAACTTTCAAAGAACTTAGCGTTATAGCTAAGTTACTCTGTTGAAGAGCAAAATTGAGACATTATCTTCTTTCAAGTGAGCAGAAATATATTTTAAAAAGTGGCAAATGCATGGCCTGGCTTTCTGGCTTGCTACAGCTAGTTTTATCATGCCTTTAAAGCAAGGATGGTGTGAAATCATAGAAAGTTGAAACTCAAAAGGGACTGAATGCCAGTTTTCTACTAGTTAGCTGTCTGAGTGCTGAATGCAAATTTCTTTGTCTGCTATTTCAACTTATCATTTCTAGTCCATTCTTCTTCCCCCTTGGAAATCATAACATACATAACGAAAAGAAGGAATCTAAGATGCATTAATAAATCTTGCTTTCCTTTCAACGTGTCAACATCAATATGCTGCATATTCACAACAGCGCCCTCTACTGGGAGATGGAATGGAAAGAATGGAAATTTCTAAATGGAAATTGTAATTTTATGCAGCTGTCTTAAATTGTGGCTTTTACCCAAAATATGATCAGAATTTTCCTTTTTCAAACAACATATATATACATATGTATATACACAGTTTATAAAAGACGACTGTATTTGAAATAGCATGTCTCATTCAGAGAGTCCTTCATCAGTCACATTGAACAGTAACAAAAAAGGATTTAGAGATACTTTTCTATACTGGGAAGGCATATAGATGGTCCACTGTAATATGTTTATCTTTAAAAATGAAATTTGGAACATAAAGAAAACCAATACTGAATTTTCTATCCATTTACACACCAAATCCTTTCATATTCAAGCCACACTGCTACACGTCAATTAGAAATGGTTGTTAAAGCAAAAAATTTAGAGGACTACTGTTTCTGCTGTTGGACACATAAGATTTCCAGTAGTTTGGAAGAAAATAATTATTTAGGTCAGCATTGAAGTATCAAAGAAGAAAATACATTAAGAAATAAAATTCCATTCCATTCTACGATGCAATGATAACAATATATGAAAAGACGCAACGTAAATTATGTCTAAATGAGGCACAGAATTTCTTTCAGTAATCTTTGATCAGTTTTCACTACATCTTAATAGCGCTACTGCAAACAATTCAGGCAAATATTAGAAATATCATAAAATTTTTAGATGTTTCAAAACTTTTAAAAACATACACTTCTGAGTGAAAAAGCAATGGAGAAAAAGTCATGCTCAACAGTATTACTGCTTACCTTAAAATAAAAAAGACAAGCTTTTAGGCATTAAAAGGTGGAGATATTTGGAAGTATCATATCAGATAATGCCAACAGATATGTTCTGAAAACCATTTCTACTCATACATCTTAAAATGAGCAAAGGAAAAAAAAATCTGTTGCTTTGATAAATAATTTGGAGGATTTTTGTTGTTCTTGGTGGTTCTGGCAACAGCTTTTAATGTTTCTTTTTCTTCATTTCCCATTTGACTGACTTGTAGCTGACAGTTATATGGCTTCCTGCTCCCATGACAAAAAAGTGACTGAAAGATTCTCTCTAAAGCAAAACTAAATGTCATTCTGTTGAAGAAGCCTCTAGGGACAGACATAAAAGGGACATGCCACAGTCTGCTAAAATGCTCACAGTGGTAACTTCATGGATCACAATAATTTTGGAAGCATCTTTCAATATTTTTAAAAGTATATGCAAAATTAAAATTGTTGGATCACCATGTAAAATACAGCTGATGTTGTCATAAATAAACTTTGCAACCTTTGCATTAGGAAGAATTCTTTTCTGTATTCAGTAGAATTTGTTTGATACATGTATGGCAATCAGAATACTTAAAGGAACAGAACCCTGTCACAATTCTATAATAGTACCATTAATATCATCAGTGTCACCATTACTATTATTTATCCTATCAAAAAGATACAGCTGAGAGGTAAGCAATTCAAATAACAGTTAATACAAGATGCAAACCTTTATAGCAAAGAATTGGAAAAAAAAATGTTTCAGCAAATTTAACTAATTGGTATAATTAAATGTAAGGTGCATTTGTAATACGAGAAAACTACTTAGGAGAGACATGATCAACCAGAATTTTTTCAAATACTTGCTATTTGTGCATGGAAAAATGAGTAATTAGTTTGTACTAAAATAAATAATTAAATCCTTCCCATTTTGGAGTCTGATTCATGAAAACTTAAAGAAATACAACAAGCTTCTACACTTACGCATATTAGAGTTAGACACATACTTAAGCACATTTTAAAACAGGGGCATCTTTCTCCTAATTGCTCTCATTGAGGTAATCATAGAATTCACATTGTGATCAGTAGCATACTGATGTACTCACATCTATGGTAGTACCTAAAAACAGCTCTTGAAAAAAACTCTATACCATTAAGAATCAAGTACATGTCCTAAAGGCCTTTCTAATACTCCATCATTAATATTAAATTATTTCATCAAATGGAATCACTGGGTTTTTTAAATTAACATTAAAATATTCAATCTGTAGAGAGTATCATATTTCACTGCAACAGAAAGCAAACAGATGATTTATCTTATAGTTTGATTAGTAGAAGGGAAGAAGTATTTCTAAGTATCAGAGTTTTAAGAAATATACAAAAATGTATATTCAGAGTCAAGCCTTTGTGAGTCATGTTTTCCTCTTTTAGTTCAATGAGGTATATTTGATGATGTATCTTCTAAAATATGCAATTACGTCTTTATCCACAAAAATACCTTCTCAACCTAAACATCAGTTGTTCTACTACAGTGCTACAATATTTAACACATTAAGCTTAAAATATCTGGAGGATCTTGGACATTTTGCACTTTGCATTTCACATTAGATTTTGTTAATTAAAATGTGATTTTCAGTGTATCTGAAATCTGCTTTAGTTAAGATTCTTGTGAGGTATTAACTTGAAGAAGAACAGTAGTACTCCGTTAATTTTTGTCCTTCCTTTACATATTCATTTCAGAAGAAAAGAGACACCTAATTCACATTGCAACTGCACTGTGTAGGTAAACTCTTTTTCTACACACCTGTGGAACAGCATGTGTGAGAATAACAGTCAAGAGAAACCATGAAACGTTCTTTGTGTAAAGAGAGAATGGGATTTTTACAAAACGTATAACAAACCAACAAATTAGGAGAATGAAGCAAGCATTAGGCTGGTAACCACCTTTACATGCTATATAAGTCCCAATCAACAAAGCATACTCTAAAAATGATCTAATCAAGCCATTTTTCACTGATACACCTTCCTAACTGCTTGTAATGATTACAGCTTTCTTCATGACACAGTGGCAATCATGTATTTATTGGAGAGAGACATTTTAAACAATTTAGATTCTTCTTACTATCTAAACTTCACCTGCACTTTAAATAGATTATTTCACCCACTATAGTCCACTCTTCTTGACATACTTTAAATGAATCATGCTCAAACCACATTAAAAAATGCTTTTGATAAACAACATTTTTAAAGGTGCTGCAACTGGAACTGCTTCCTGTGAACTACCTGTGGAAGAAGTGCTTGATAGGAACTGTTTGTTAGGAGGACAGGATTTAATAAATCCTGGTAACAATAACTGTTCTT